AATTTGTAGTTGCAGATCTGACGTTAACATATATGTGACAAACTGGTTTTCCTTGACATTCTTTTTCCTGTTTGGTGCGATTGCTTTTGCGGATCTTGACCTGGACAGCTTCCAAGGTAGCGGAGGAAAAATAGTTTGGCTTTATTTTGACGGGGAAGACGTACCTGAGCAGGGTGGAGCAATGACGGAGGATGAGGAATCTGGGGGTAACAGTCACCTTGACCAGAGCCAACAGTTTTGTTTTCCTTGCTGAGTTTCTGTTCCTTCACAAAACGTAAAAACATGGCTGCCATCGCAGAGCTTGGCATCCATAGCCATGGGTATATGACAATGAAGAGGAAAACTAGAGTGTAGTTAAACACGCCAGTTTTTTTATGTTTGTTATTGATTAATGGAATAGATAAGAGACGTTCCATGGTGTCCCTCTAATGATCAACTTAATGTAGAGAAAGGAAGAGAAATAATCTTCTGTTGATTCTTCCTAGATAATGACGTCACAGTTAATGATTCATTTATGTCTCAATAACTGTTTTTTTTTTACATTGTTCCTTTACATGAGATGCAGGAGGACAGACGGAGTGTCCATGGTGCTGATGAGGGGCGGCTGATGTCTCCTACCTTTGGGAAGAATGCAGCAGTCCTGTGAAAGCTCGGCTTACTGTTTCTGATCTACGTGCTGAACTCGGCATAACTTCCCTCTATCCGCTACATTTTCACGTTTCTCTCAGAAGCTGGATGGATTTAAACTGATAGTAAAAACCCTGAAGTTGAAGGTGTTTTCCTGAATGTATGTCAAGAATTTTTCATCCTAGAGGAGGAAACCTTTGCATCATGGACAATTGTTGACTTTCTGATGCAGTCTGATATAATACACTCTTATTATGGATGCTGTAATTTAAATGGATGCTTTTGTTGTTGTCTTTTCTTTATTTAAATACAATTATACATAATCTTTACATCAGAGCCAATGGTTTAAGTGGTGGATCCTTATCTTCACCAAGACATTGTTTTTTAAACGTCCTTGATCTGTGTCGGATATTTCTTTAATGTTTAATTAGCTACAGTCCAACCATATGACTGTTTATCAGTTCATTGGCATCTATAATCCCATTAGTTTATGGCTTCCTTTGACCTTTGAACTTAAACTGTTAACTAAGGAATCATTAGTTCTAATCCAACTGATTGATTTGCTTTACAACCATGATTTTATGTTTTTATCTCATTGCTTTTATTCTGCTTTGGTCTTTCTTTTTTTTCTTGTCTAATTCATAAAAAGCACTTTGAATTGTCTTTGTACTGTTTTGTGCTTTAGAGACAAACTGCTTTGCCTTGTTCTAGTTTCTCCCAGACAGTTCGTAAAGCAAAAAGCCCTCCTTTATGTGTAACTTTGGGTCTTGCTCCAGGCTTTTACTCCTATTTGGGATCAAATTTCAAATCTCTGAGGCAGGAAAAATAATTGATCCTCTATTTCTTTTGGGCCTTATGTTAATAACCTGCATTTGAGCTCATTTTGTTGCACAAACCTATTAAATTAAGCCGAACACCTGCCGAACGGTTAATATGTTTCTTGAAAAATAGTATAAACAAGCTGCAGCCACCG